AGACTGGGAGAAAGGTCCTCCAACTAAAGCAGACCACATCTGGTACACCGACGGCTCCAAGACCAGAAAGGGGGTCGGAGCCGGCATCTACGGGGATAAACCTAGGGTGGAAATATCCACAAGTCTCGGACAGTACGCCATGGTGTTTCAAGCGGAAATCGCTGCAATAATGCATTGTGCCATGCTGATAAATGAAAGGAAAGTTGGGAGTAAAAACATCCTTATTTAATCGGACCGCCAGGCGGCCCTAAAGGCAATCAGCTCCCAAAAGATCAGCTCCAAGCTGGTTGGGGACTGTGTACGCGCCCTAGAGGAGGTGGGCCTGTCCAACAAACTTTCCATAGCCTGGGTACCAGGCCACAGGCCATGAGGGCCATCTAGGAAGCTCGGCCACTGAGATGATAGGCCCAGAACCATTCTGCGGAATTTCTGAAGGCAGTGTTAAAATATCTATTAAGAACTGCATAGACAGAGAGTTCCAGAGCTGGTGGCAGCGAACACCAGGATAACGACAGGCAAAGCAGTTTATCAACTCCTGCTCGCCCAAGTTCACAGCGGACCTACTAAGCCACCAGCCGCAAGATTGTTAGGATAGCGGTAGGTCAATTAATTAACAGGGCATTGTAAACTCAACAAGCACCTGGAAAGAATGAACCTAGCAGAGGATAGCCTGTGTAGGTTCTGCCAGGAGGCAGAAGAAACTCCGTACATGTATGGTGCCATTGCAAAGCGCTATGCAGGCTTAGGTTTGCGAGGCTTGGAGAGGAAAAGTCCAATCCGGCAAGCTACATGGGGTGGCCACTGGCCAGTATCTTTTATTAGGCTCTGGAGCCTAATGAAAAGGACAGGTCTAGAGAACGCACTCTAAGGACAGATAGGAGATACCACAATAAATTTGATAAGGTTGCAGTGGTAAAGGACGTCTCTGCGCCATCTCCATTCAAACAAATCTACAATCTAGGTATAGAGACGAACTATTTTTCACAACAGGCTCAACGCCTCTTCCAATTACCAGATATTATAGGTATGTGATGGGAAAAATATTATGACAAAGGTAATACTAGCCAACTAACCTCTGAAAATCCAACAGAAATGCGACGTCTTGTCGAAACTAGGTTTATTCACACACTAAATATCTGTTTGAAAGATACAGACATGACATCACGTACAAAATCCATCCAGTAGAGTAGGCACATTATATGCGACTGTAACAAACACCTGCTGATAATTGCGCATGTTCCAGAGTCACTAAAACTCACTCAAATCAATACTGGACGATGACGACCTCTTCCAGATGACAAATTGGATACACCGATTCACACTCACTAAACTTAGTTTTTTTAAACATTGAAATCTGTTGTAAGTGTCGACAAAAGAAACCTTTCAGACTTACCCTTATAGATGGAGATAATCCTCCAAAGTCTCGTCTACGTCTTCAAATGAGTAGCCGTTTTAGATAGCTGCTACCAAAATGCAGGAAAAGCATCTATCCAGATCAACCCTTGGAAGAAAAGATGAACTTTTTGTGCAATAATCCAGTTGATTTTTTCGTTTTTTTCTGAAAGTTATTAGTTACTGGGGATTTTCAGCCTGACGATACGTAAGTAAAAATTAAAATTGAATAAAATGGCACCGATTGGCCAGCTGAGATGCATCCCCCAATTTAAGAAGCTATCTATGCCCCTATTTTTTTCTTGGACATTCTCTGAGTTTTCGAGAAAGCATTTATTTATGTCTGTTTGCAATAATCATCTAAGATCTAAGGAGGAAAACCGAATTTTCGAAGGTAGTAGGTATATTAGAAAAAAGACTTCACCGCACTCCAAGATTAATTCGAACGATCAACATTTCCACATTTTTTTCCACTTTACGAACAATATGTACCGAAAAAATTCTAGTTCAATCAAACCATTAAAAATACCTATGGTTTTCGATATTTTTGAAAGTTATAGGAGCTCGTAGGAGCCCCTTAAAATTCATCGAATTACATGGCGTTATTGTATTATGCCGTAAATAGCCTACTTTGTCTTAGTTCAAATATCCTATAAGTATTCGTTTTCCTATGCAAATTTATACTATCCTATACCTTCCTATAGTCTGTGATCAAAATTATTGGCAGTGACTAATTTCTTTCCTTGCATAGAGCGGCGTGGGTTGTGAGGGGAAATTATTCCAGTCGCGTATATATTTATTCGATTAATAGGTAGGTACCTACACTACTGAATGACTTTCATCCCATTTTGACGTTTAAAAATGACATTATTGAACGCATAACAATAAAGGTAAGTAGGCGTTTATCACCTCAGTGATTTAAATTTTTTTTAACTCACTCGGCATTTTTATTCACTCTGCCCAACTAAAAATCTGACACCTCAGTGATTTAAAATATCTTTAACTCCACAAAATGGGATAATAGTTATTTATACACCAAGTGAGTTAAATGAATAAACATTTAACTCACGTGTTGTATACAGAATTTTATCCCATTTTGATGGACATTTAAAAAATAAAGTACTTAATAGGAATCAAATTATAAAAAGAATTCATTTTATAGTTATGAAAGCGCTAATTATTGAAATTGGTGGTTGCTAGGGTATAACCAGTTGTTTTTTTGTATTTGTAGCAAATTTGTATAGTGGCAGAGTGACTTAAAAGACCGAGAGTAAGTTTAAAATATTTTAAGTCACTCAGGTGATAAACGTCTACTTACCTTGTTATTATCCGTTCAATAATGTCATTTTTAAACGTCAAAATGGGATAAAATTTTGTATACAGCACGTGAGTTAAAATGTTTATTCATTCGAAGAAAATTAACCCACTCGCTAGGGCTCGTGGGTTAAACTTTCTTCTCATATATTATATCACAAGAGCTTTAAATTTAATCGATTAAACTATCCAACATATTTTGAGCATGATTTTGCTTGGAAAATAGTTGAATGCACAATAACTTAATAAATTTTATTTAAAAGTTATTGTGCATGAAACTTGTAGCAAAACGCCCCCAAGTAGTCTATGTAATTAGTTAGATGGTAAATGGCGAGCGGTATATTGATGGTGTTTATTTCCTTGGAGCTGCTACCTATAAAATTGTGGAAGGGTCTATTCGCAAAAGAGAGAAACAAACTATTGAGGTTTACTTAATTATATTTTATTATACATAAAACCAAAAATTTAAATCAGCAAAATATCTTCCAATTCTGACAGCTTCATCTATTTTTTTTAAATTCAATTACTTCTCATCCGTTCAAATGTCATTATTACGGACCGGGAAATATCCATACAAATAAAGAAACGCCCTATTCCTACTATTCCTAATAACTTATAAGTTTATTCACTTCAACACTTCCGATTCATTCAAATTAAACTACCCTTCACCTATTTCTATAAATTCTTTAAAATTTCTTCTAAAAGTCCTTTACTGACTGCTTATGAAAAACCAAAATAATTACCTATTTGTTTATTAATATAGGTATTACTAACTTATTCTTATAAAACCTTACAATAATTTCTACATGAAAAATAAAACCCCAATTCAAAATTTCGCCACTTAAGATCATCAATGTTTCTTTAAGAATACCAAATTTCAAATAAAAACTTTTTATCAATTTAATCAGAATAATTACTATTTTCGAAAATCCTAGGTAACATACAAAATTATTTAAATTCTTATTAGTTCGTTACTATAGCCCTTAAACTTCAATTGGACAATCCAATTCAAAATTCTTTAATAATCCCTACTCAAATCGATACTTGTTAAGTGCATTATAAACTCCCTTCATATTTTCTTTGCAAAATTAAATTAGAATGTCATTATATCTGAAGGCAATTAAAGTTATGCAATAATGTTGCATAGTCAAAACACTCGAGTATTTCTATTTATGCAATAAAGTTCCCAAGTTAATTCACTTCATAGTCATTCAACATTTATAAAGTCAAAAGTTTTACTAGTTAAAATCACTCAAGTTTTTTAGGCATTAAAAGTCATTGTTAATTCACTTCTTATCATTCCGAATCATTGATAAAAGTCAAAAAATTATTAGCCACTAAAGTACTTACATTTAAATTGTCACTCGATAAAATACTTAATTAACTCATCTGACCACACTCTGATGATCTCAACTGAAACCGCGGTATTTATATTATTCGAATCCCCAAAATTTCTTTGTCCATAACAATTAGGATGATGCAATCTCCTTGAAATTTTTGTCATTTTATTTGTTTAAAATCGAATAACTCTGTCGCAATTTCCTGATTTTATCGGGGTCACGGATATTTTTTGGTTCAAGAATGCCATAAATCATTCGATTTAATTATTATGGCCTCGCTTAAAAAAGTTCATTGATCGGATGTTAGGAGATGACATCACACTGGACGAAAAAATATAATTTCGAATGTATTTGGGGTCGCGTTAATTTGTTCCATTTTCAATTTATCGATACTGATTTGAAATACCGGAAATTCAGTTTTTGATTATTTGATTATATTTAATTTTTACAGTAAAAACATTGTAATTTACGGGTCTATTTTCCGGATCATTACAAACTATTTGCCAAAAAGCAAAATATTGCAAAAAATATTTGGATAGTTTAATCCATTTAAATTTATAAGGTCGAGTGATATACGGCTAGATTATTTCCTGAATAATTGGGTTTAAAGCCAGCAACAAAGAGTTATATTTATGAAAAAATGTGAGAATATTTCTATCAAAATTCTGTCAAAAAAGGTAAACATAAATTTAATCGGGAATACACAAGGTCTTGTGCAATAATCACTTATTTAAACAAAATGTATTAAAAAAATTAAGTTGACTGATTCGTCTATTTTGTCATGAGTGAAATAATCATGAATAAACATTAATTTAACTCACTTGTGTATAAACTATTATTTAATTTGCCGCCTAGTCGTCATTGTGTGCGGCATTATATGAATTACTGCCAGTAATTTTGATCGCAGACTACTAGTTATACATGAAAAATTGCTAAAGCTACTAATTATTATAGGACCTCGCATAAATACTCACAGATTCAACACCAAATTCCATAAATGCCGTCTTTTCGGACCTGCAAGGGATATGTTAAGCAGGCACATCTACTATGGAATATGTCTTGATTGCAGACGTGCTATTAAACAGTGAGTAACTTTATACAGTTTTTGTTAGAAACTTAACATAGTACTTAATTAGATATTGCGGTTAAGAATTTGCTGGAGGAGCGAATAATTTTTCACTCTAAACCCAAAAGCTTGGAAAGCCAAAAAATTAAGATTTTCTTTCATTGGTTTTAAATTGGTATGGTTTGTCAAACAAAGTGAATATAAACTAAATTCAAATTGATTGATTTGAACTTAATGAAATGATTGACCCAATAACAAAAAAACATTTATACCTATCACTATTAAAACCTGTTAACTAATGAATTTTCAATTTTTTAGGTACATGATGATTAGCGCCAGACATCCGTACACCAGACGTTATGCGCCATCATCATTCCAGCTTAAAGAAGAAGAGTATCGCCATTTGATTTTTTACAATAATGCCATCCATCCCTTCAGCATGTTCACTTTTCATTATGAATTTGTCTTTATGTTCGTGGTTATGTTGCAAATGATAGCCAATCCGTTTTGCGCAATGGTTTTCCCTGGAAAAAATCAAATTTTGTATTGGAGCTTTCTTCCTGTAAATTGTAAGGATCGTCGCTAAGAGGTTTATCTTTTTAAGGTTCTTTCAGACTAAAGGTTTAGCAACTACGTTGCAGAGCTTAAATTAACGATTAAAAATGAATCAAAGACTCATCATTATCCTTTGTAGAAAAAGCTCTTGGATTCATTTATTTCCACGCTCTCATTGATACAACAGCAACAATTTACTGTTAGACGTAGATTCGACTTTCCTAGATCATGGAATGTCTCAGTTGGATCAGCTTGGTCTTCTGAAAATGGATGACGACAATGACGTGGCTTTGCTCTAGGTTGATCGTGATCTGCCAGTTGATGCACTATTACAAAAAAAAAGATCCATTTCTTGGCCTGTGTAAATTGCGCAATCATCTGCGCTGCGTACAGAGCAATGCTCGTGTCCTGTATCTGTCGAATGTCGTGAGTGCGATTTTGTAAAAGTAGGGCCTCTGAGCACACCCTTGTGGAACACTGGCTCCCAGTCATCTGATTTTAGAATATTGACAATAACACATAACACCGTTACAGTTTCAATTGTCTTCTTCCAGTTGAATCCGATAGTGAATTTTCTTCTGAGGGTCACTCTGAACTGCTCCTCCGGAATCAACTCTAGGTCTCACTCTAGAAGGGGCAACAGCACCTACACAACAGGCTGATGGAAAAACGGTGCATTTTCGCATTTTCTGAGATATTACGCAAGCTTCCAGCACTCTAATCTTAACAATCTTGTGGTCTTCGAGGTTAAAAGCCTAAGGGGAGAATGACGCTGAGAGAACGATAGGTACTATCCTCACGAGCTATCCATCATCATGTTATTGAGATGCTATGTGATATTGAATTGAATAATTGGCACAGAAGCTTTTAAGACAGTTGAACTCACATTTAAACTGGGGCTACACCGTCAAATCGTAGGAACATCTTGTACATGCCACGTGGCCAGTCACAAAAGGCTGGGAAGTGCAGGCAGCATATTTACAGATGCTAGCGTGCGCTGACAACAGGGTGTTGAAATCTTTGAGGTTTTGAAGAAACTAAATTTACAAATACTAGGTAACAGATTTGGACACTAGAGTGTTATAGATACTAACGGATGTTGACACCGTTTCAAAACAACTAACTGTGCGGAAAAATATTAAATAAGTGATAACGGCTGTTTGCACCGACCGTTTTGAGCGAGGCTTGACGATAACTATACACAGTAAAAAATAAACAATGGGAGTTTCTTGGGGTATCGGTCGTCGTGAAGGGCTTAAGATTAAGCTGGCACACTCTAGTTGAATAAGGTCAAATCTTTGAAAATCCAGTACCTACCTCATATTTTGTGCTAATTTAGTTCATTCATGGCACGCCTAAAAAACTAACAATGATGTATTTATTACGAAATAACCACGGAAAAGTGCTAACTTAAGAATTGAATTAGCACATATACATCGAATCAACCGCGCGAGAACGGAATTCGCATGCACATATTTAGTGCTAATTTAGTACTTCAAAAATGACGACCCGAAACGAATTAGTATCACATCAGCACAGAGCTAGCACTTGTGTGCTGGCTAAGTGTTTAAGTTTAAGTTAACGAATATTATCACCGATGACGAGGAACTAAAGTACTAAATTAGCACACAATCAGTGCTAATTCCGGACGTTAGTCGAAAATTTATAATTCTGTTATTTTTTTTATAACCGACATGTGTGCTAGCATAAGGTTTGACCTAAACACTAAGCTTAAGGTTTGATCAGTGCAGAGTACCAAATTAGCACACATTTAGTGCTAATTTTGGATGTTAGTGAAAATTTATTACTCAATTTTTTTTCATAACCGTCTTGTGTGCTGGCTTGTGGTTCTACATCATAGCCACTTTTTCTCCCCTACAAGACGCTACCATCAAAATTGAAATATGACATTTCGTCTTTGAGCCACCATTAGGTCTGTTTCTGCAGAAATGACAAACCAGTCAGAGCGAATTTTATTGATTGAAAACAGTTTCAACCAATGAAATTCATTCTGACTGGTTTGTGATTTCTGCAGAAAGAGACTTAATATCATTTTTTTTTAAATACGACCCTGGATTTTTTATTTCAGATTTTAGGAGCTTCTGATGTCCCAAAACCTATGAGGTATCGTATTTAAGGGTCCGTATTTAAGAAAATGAAGTTGATGATGGTGGCCCAAAGACGAATCCTCAGATTTTAAATTTGGTGCTAGCATCCTGTAGGGGAAAAAAGTGGGATTGATGAAGTGACAGTTTCTTTTCAAATAAAGTCAAGAAAAATAAAAAGTATTCGGAATATTTCAAATATAAAAGCGGCATTCTGTTAAGCATCAAATTACGCAACTTTGCCCCAATTTAATCAACCCTGTATCTCTCATCATTTCCGAGATCCCAATGATGTGGCTCGAATTTGAAACACCCTGTACAGGGTGGTCCAAATTGGACACTTTCTTATGAAAACACCCTTTATTTTTAGAGATAAAAAAAAATGGACCCCCCACTCTGAGGCTCAAATTTCATGAAATCTTGATTGGTGCAAACCGCATTTTGATATCTTCAACCGTTTAGCCGCTAGAGGGCGATTCTCGATTTTGAGCAATACCTTAAAGCCTCCATAACTTTTTTGTTTATGAAAATAATTCATTTCCGTAAAGATCTTTTGGAAGCACTTTTTCAAGCAGAATTCAGTGACGTTCTCAGTTTTTTTCTGTCTGGCTTCGATTTGGAGATATTGACCATAAACCGATTTTTTTTAATAGGACACCCTATATATTAATAGTTTATTAGAAAGCTATGCTTTCGCTGATTTCAATGATATAAGGTTCGATAGGTTTATCTCTAACAGTTTTCGAGAAAAAAAATTATTTCGGTTTTTGTCATAAGAAACAATGTGTTGGAGAAGGACTTTATCTCTGTAAGGAAACTGAGAAAGGTCTCTTTCTAACACATTGTTTCTTATGACAAAAACTGAAATAATTTTTTTTCTCGAAAACTTTTAGAGATAAGCCTATCAAACTTTATATCATTGAAATCAGCGAAAGCGTAGCTTTCTAATGAACTATTAATATACCGGGTGACCACGAGATTACTGACCAAGCTCTAGTTCAGGCATGAATATCAATATCGATTTCAAGTTTTGAGGATCTATATTAGAAATTCTAAGCATATTTTATGTATAATATCCTATACCTATTAAACAGTTTTCAAGAAAATCGCGATTGAAAATGTCAAAAAATAATTTCTATTTTAGTTTTGACAGCAAACAATGGATAGTAGGTTGGAACTTTTACGATATTTTTGACTCATTTTAGAAGCACTAAAGGGTCCCACCACAAAAATATCAGTTCCGGTTCAATCGAAGGTTTTCGGTCGGTCTACTTTTGAGGTTATGTTACTGCAATAATTTCAATGGTATCCCATACTTAGAACTGAAAATTCGTATTCTAGGAACAATTTTGAATCTTTTTTGTATACGCTTTCCTATAGGTACCTAAAGTCTACTGTTTTTGAGATATTTTACACTTGATGTAAGGATGTCTTTGGAACAACGAATACCAAAAACAGTATTAACAGCATTAATTTCAATCCTTTTTATAAGTTTTGTTGCGGTTTTGTTTGTTGTATTTGTAATGTAACAGTGCAAATCGGGATTCAAGGAACACAACAAATGAGACTTATCTTTTAACCTGCATTCTGTGTGAGGTACCTGCGGCAAACAAGGCCCGGCGGCTTATAAGGCCCAGATGCCATATCTGATGACAGGCCCTTTTTTTTTAAAGCTGGCAACGTCGAGCCCCTCCCCAATAACTGTTGAAAGTCACGCGCCATAACAATACCACGAAATCTGGAGACCGTTTGAAAAATCAGTTATAATCGAACCGCAGCGTTGAGTGGAAGGCGGTTTTATAAAATTTAATCATCATATTTTAGTAAATATTTCGTGCGCACTTAAATCATAGAATCCAGTACTTGGTGCCTTGGATTCCATGGAGTTTGGACTGTTTTTTGATGTGACACTGATACCGACAAGGTAAGAGGTACTCATGTTTTAAATTATTGCATAGCCAATAAGCATTTCGGCTAATAAAGCCCAATGAGTTTTGGCTAATAAGGCCCACCAAATGGTGGGCCTTATTGAACGACGTTATAAAATATTTTTTCTTTTGTTAAGTTTTCACAACAACAATGCCACCAAAAGTGATGAAGCGAGCAAATTGGACTGAAGAACAACTCCAAGCTGCAATTAGGGCAGTGCAACATAATAGATTGTCGCAAAGAGAAGCTGCTCAGCGTTATAAAATACCCAGGAGAACACTAAGGAACCATCTAAAATCTGGCATTCTAAATAAAAAAATCGGACGATCCAGCGTTTTAACTCCCGAGCAAGAAGTTCAATTTTCTGAAAGAATAGTTCGTGTCTGTGAAATTGGAATGCCCCTAACACCATTATTAGTACGTCGCTCTGTATACACATTCTGTATTGAAAATAACATTCCACACCCATTTGACGCTGCCAAAGGCATCGCTGGTAAGGACTGGCTCTATGGGTTTCTGAAACGCAATCCTCGTTTGTCAAGACGCAAGGCGCAAATGATGAATCCAGCACGTGCCCAAAAACTAAATAAATTTATAGTTGGTGATCACTTCACGAAATTATCCAGAATTTTTGAAGAAATGAATTTGCACCAAAATCCACAGAACCTTTACAATATGGACGAAAAGGGATGCCGAATAACTATTCATCACCAACAACAAGTTATTGCCCAAAAAGGAGCCAAACGTATCCACTTGGTTGCTCCCGAGCATGCAGAAAACGTGACCATTGCTGGGTGTTGTAATGCTTTAGGAAATAGTATCCCTCCTATGGTCATATTTAAGGGAAAGAGATTGAAACCTGAATGGGAAGAAAATTTACCAGCAGGTACCCTGGTTAAAATGGCGGAAAAGGGCAGCATGACCAATGAACTTTTCCTTGCTTTTCTTAGGCACCTACACCATTACAAGGGTCCGGGGAGTATCTTGCTAGTTTTTGATGGAGCAGCTAGTCACCTAGATATCTCAATAACCGAGGTTGCTGATGAGTTGGATATAAAACTGTTTTGCTTACCTTCCAACACCACCCATGAACTGCAACCTTTAGACAAAGCGGTTTATCGGTCCTTTGAACATCACTGGGACCAAGAAGTTCTCAGGTTCTGGGAAGCGCATCCAGACCGTCGCTTGAACAAATATCGCTTTGGCAAATTTTTTTCCAAAGTTTGGCCCAGATGCATGACGCCCGAGAACATAATGAGCGGCTTCCGAGCGACAGGCTTATATCCATTAGATCCTAATGCGATTCCCGAATCAGCTTTCGCCCCCTCATTAGCAACTGAACGTCCTGACGATGCGCTAATTCGTGAGAACAACACTAATAACATTACTGATATTGAGCTTGATGACAATGATGATCAGCCTAATATTGTTAATGATGTGCAATCCAACGATCCTAATTCAGACGACTCCACAGATAACATCCCCGTCGGTATGTTAAGGAACATTATCTTGCAAGAAAAATCCCGTGCAACTCCAGTTGAGACTAATAAAGCAACTAAGATACAAGAAAAAAGCCAAGATCTCAATAAGTCTTTCAAAGAACTGCTCCCTACGCCTGAACTCTTCAAATTGAAAGAAAATAAAGCTCCAAGAATAAAATCTCTCAATTACAGGGCACAGATGGTAACCAAAGACCTATTCTCTCCAACAAGTGGCAAATCCAAATCTACACTATCCAAGAAAGATAAGATAAGGAATGAACCAATAGCGTCATCATCAAAAATGTTACAGAGAAAAGGCCAAAAGGATATCCTCGCAGAAAATGACTCTTGTTATTGCTTTGTGTGTAACAAATCAGAAAAATTGGATATGCGAAGGTGTGTGTCTTGTGGCACTTGGTCCCACGAAATTTGCATTGGTTTCACAAAAGACGACAAAGATGGCTATATCTGTGTCCGTTGTGATTAAGTGTTGGATTTTTTCTAAGAATTCGATTGCCTACGTTCTGATTAGGTTTTGGTTTTTTTTTTCCAAAGAATTTGATATTTTATTTTTATGAAATCAAGTATTCCATTTATTTTTAGGTAGTCTTCGCATTTTAAGACGTGAAACCTTTTAATTTTTCCAATAAATTTATTTTTGTAACTTGTTTTAGTTTTATTCATTATGGGCCTTAATAGCCGACATCAATTTTTCTTGTGGGCTTTATTAAACGAATATTCGTTTAATAAAGCCCATTAGAGACTTTTTTTTGTGAGCATATCAAAAGTTTCACATACATTTGAGGCTGCAAATGTACCTGTAGTCTTGTGTACTATAGTCCGGAGTAACGATATATCTTAGCTGTGTTGCTCGTTTCTTTGTTTTTTGATAAATAATGCAATTTCTTCTTAAGTGGGCCTTATTTGCTTCAGGTACCTGAGTGATTGCAGCTGTCTATTTGAATAAATTTATAAAAAGGATTAAAATTAATGCTGTTAATACTGTTTTTGGTATTCGTTGTTCCAAAGACATCCTTACATCAAGTGTAAAATATCTCAAAAACAGTAGACTTTAGGTATAGGAAAGCGTATACAAAAAAGATTCAAAATTGTTCCTAGAATACGAATTTTCCGTTCTAAGTATGGGATACCATTGAAATTATTGCAGTAACATAACCTCAAAAGTAGACCGACCGAAAACCTTCGATTGAACCGGAACTGATATTTTTGTGGTGGGACCCTTTAGTGCTTCTAAAATGAGTCAAAAATATCGTAAAAGTTCCAACCTACTATCCATTGTTTGCTGTCAAAACTAAAATAGAAATTATTTTTTGACATTTTCAATCGCGATTTTCTTGAAAACTGTTTAATAGGTATAGGATATTATACATAAAATATACTTAGAATTTCTCATAGAATCCAAAAATGTAATAATATAGGGGGTGATCTAGTTGTAATAAAGAAGTTGATGGCACTTGCGGTCAAACCAGAAGCGATAGTCGATTGTTTTTATAGCGGAATTCTGCATCGATATCAATAATATACATCCTCAAAACTTGAAATCGATATTGATATTCATGCCTGAACTAGAGCTTGGTCAGTAATCTCGTGGTCACCCGGTATAGGGTGCCCCATTGGAAAAAATCGGATATTGGTCAATATCTCGAAATCGAAGCCAGACAGAAAAAAACTGAGAACGTCACTGAATTCTACTTGAAAGAGTGTTTCCAAAAGGTCTGTACGGAAATAAATTATTTTCATAAACAAAAAAGTTATGGAGACTACAATATTGCTCAAAATCGAGAATCGCCCTCTAGCGGCTAAACGGTTGAAGATATCAAAATGCACTTTGCACCAATAAAGATTTCATGAAATTTGAGCCTCAAAGTGGGGGTCTATTTTTTTCTATCTCTAAAAATAAAGGGTGTTTCCATAAGAAAGTGTCTAATTTGGCCCACCCTGTACATATTTAGTGCTGATTTAGTACCTCGAAAATGACGACATAAAACAAAGTATTTTATTAGCATATACAGTGTGTCCGAAATTCGAGTCTCTACATGGGGATTTCGCTTATTATGAGAAATACAGGGTGGCTCAAATCAGGAAAGTTTTAGGGAATTTATAGCTCACTTATATCCTATTGTTATTTGCTTCAAAACTTTCTGTTTCCTAGAAATCCGGGAAAAACTGAAAATAGCCAATTTTGTTTTTTGTCAATAATTCATAAACCGTTAACTTTAGACTTTTCTAACTTTAACATTATCAAGACACTTTTTTGAGACGGATATTTTCGTAATTGTACCTAACACTTGCGGAAAATATTTTCATTTTCCGCACTTGTTAGGTAAATAACTATTCCGCACTGGCTTGCGTGCGGTAAAAGTTTTACCGCACCGTGCGAGAAAACTCATTTTCCGCACGCATATCAGTGCGGAAAATCGATTTTTCCGCACGGCTGTAGGAAAAATTATAAGGATGAGAGTGAATTGTTTTGAAAAATATGACGACATGGAATTCTTTGACCGGTTTAGGTTAACAAAGCTGTCTGTTAGAGCCCTATTGGATGAAAAAGACCATGCAAGCTTCCTTTTTTTTTAAATTGTCTTTCTGCTTCCATTGATCTACATTTCTTACAACCTTTCCACCAACACTGTAAGCTAAAGCTACCCGTTCTCAAGCCTTCTCCTTAGATTTCATGCATAGGATAAAACCAAATTGAAACTACAAACCTTGTCTGCATTTGGTAATTTATTTATTTCTTTATTTTTAATAATTTCAAGTTTGCGCTGTTCATAAATAGCTTCCAATGAACGAATTTAATCCTTCTTTGAAAAAGGGGCACTTTCCTTTCTTTCATTTTGTTCTCTGCACTTATTTCAATCATTTTTGAAATGGCTAGAATTTTTGTCAACACACGTCAAAACCAACTTCACAAAATCACAAATTCTTTGCTTATTCCATCTGGCGATGCTCCTAACAGAGGATATTCTGCTTTTCAACTGCACATTAATGCACATAGCCAATAGCATTGTCACCATAACTGGCTCTCGCTGACCTAAAAATATATGAAACTATAAAACTGTTACCCTGCTACTAAAAGTGTAATATAATAATGGGCCAAACCTAAACCAAATGGACCCGGATTAAATTAATTTCGGTGTTGCCAAATCGGGAAAACTGATAATTACTTCTTTTTATAACAGACGATTTGAAATGTTTTATGGAACACAACTGACTTTAAGGGCTGCATAAAGTATGCTTTAACGAAAAGTGTTCTTTTTTTAAAGCCGACCTAACATCATATTTATGGAACTGGCCGTAAGAAGCTTCTATAAATGATGTTACAGTTTTTCGATGTTCATATACCACCTCCCCCCTCTCTGTCTCAATGTGTCACAATATACGGACTCCCAGGGGCGTCGCGTCGGGGGGGGGGGGGGTAATGGGGGTAATTACCCTCCCCGACGCTTTAGTTTCTTCACAAAGGAAATAATTGTTCTGGAAAAGTGAATGACCTTCAAATTTGCAAAAAAATTTGGCCTGCGGCGCGTTAGCGGGTGGTCGCATCTTCTCATTACCCCCCCCCAGACTACAAGTCACGCTTCGCCACTGCGGACTCCCCCTTCCCCCCTCGTGTCAAGTCAAAATGTAAATATATAGAGCAGGCGCTACAAGTAGTTGAGTATGTAAAATGTGACGACCGGCAAAAATGTTCAAATTCGTATTCCTGCGATCTTAAAGAATGGGAAAGTACACCTTGCCGACAGCTGGAGTGGTCCCTAACTCTCCTGCCATCCCCCAATGCAAAGTTATATTAAAAATATCACAATTTCAAGTCATTTCACAATAATCCCTATTGATTGTATCTTAGGTTTTCTTGTCAAGCACTCAAAATGAATTACCTACCACTTGTTGGATATCTTTGCAATTCTGTTCCAAAATATATGCAAGTAAAAGAAGACAGCAAGATATATAAAAAAACTGCTAAATTTAAAGAAAATCGGCAAAGGAATTTTTGTAAATTTTTTTTTCAAAGTTTGACACCCTGTATCTCGAAAACTAAGCATTTGCAAACCTATGTTTTCATTAACTTTTTCTTTATTTTAATTTAAATGACTACTATTTATCCTACAAGTTTGATCCCATTAGGTATTTATTAACACCCTTTAAAGTATTTGTAAATGTATTATTCCAAAACCTCACAGATTGCAAGAAGATGATAGCCACCGATACGAACTAAACTCTGTCTAACCAACGTTGAACGTTGAAGGTCACTTACTCGAATATATCACAGACGTGCTTTTTGCTGCTGTTTTTATTGCACACGCACTGTGTTTATCAAACTAAAATAGGTCCGAACGTGTGAATCCTATGGTTGAGTAAATGACCTTCAACGTTCAACTTTGGTTAGACAGAGTTTATCATGTTGAGTAATTTTAACCATTGCTGCTGCTGCATGGATTGGAGCAAAGGTGTATTAGAACGGTACTTTTTTTTTGGTAAAATACCTACGTTGTCCTGCAATTTTGCGCGAAATTTCTCTGAGACTTAAAGACTAGGTACCACTCCAGAGCACAACAAACGAACAAATTTAGTATACATCTTCACCTTCACTCTGAACAAGTTTAATCGTTCATTTAAGTGCAGCAAATGTGGGTTGACCAATGAATGTGATACCTAATAATTAATTTTCTAGTCATGTATGGGGTGACAATAATCATAAGCTTCTTCACTGGATTTTATGATTCAAATCAGAATATCGTAGTTCTCAGACAACGCAGTATGACGATGCATTATTTAAAATCGTATTTTATTTTTGACCTCTTGGCAATGATGCCACAATTTTTTCGAGGTTTCCTGATCGTTCGTCTAGGGATTAATTGGGATGTAAAGACGCAGATTTGGGTAAAAATCCTTGCACCACTGCTGATGTTGACCTATTATGCTCGGTAAGACCTAAGACTGATTATTTTCACTTCTAATTTAAAAAAATTTGATTAATTTCAGATACTTTTGGGTCCTGCGCGTTTTACTACAAGTGCGTTTGTATTTTGGCATGAGCTCTTACGTACATACCGCTCTAAGAATGATATTCAACACCATGCTGGTATTTATTTTTTGCACGTATCTTTCGAATACAGTTATGGTAAGAATACAATTTTTTAGTTTTATTAGGTTCGTTTCAATTGAAATGCGCTATTGTCAATCAGATTTTTGGATAACATAAAGTTTAGATTCTCAAATAAATGATAAACAATCCTTCTGGAAATTTGTAAATTCAAAAAAAAAGAATGCAGAATATCCATACAGTGTATGACGTACAAAGAGATGTTCAATCAGCATTTTTCTTCCATGGTACTCGGAATATGAAGACTCCTCCTGGGTCGCCCATTTCTGAGAAATTGATAAACCTAGGTTATTTGAACATCTCTGTAATTAATGTTTTTAATAAAGTAGGTAGCCTAAAAAAAGCTTAGGTACAGGGCC